GTTGTAGTGAAAGGATATTTTCAGGAAGAAGGGATCGAATATGAAGAGACTTTTGCTCCAGTAGCAAGGTTAGAATCCGTTCGAATCTTCTTAGCATACACAGCACACAAAAACTTTGAGGTATTTCAGAAGGACGTCAAGTGCGCATTCTTAAACGGAGAATTAGAAGAAATCGTATACGTTGAACAACCACCGGGTTTTGTGAACGAGAAGTATCCCAATCACTGCTATATTTTGGACAAGCTAGTTTACGGTTTAAAGCAAGCGCCAAGGGCCTGGTATGAAACTCTAACTCGCTTTCTTAAAATTTCCAAATTTAAACAAGGTTCGGTTGACCCAACCTTCTTTCGCAAGAAAGAGGGTGACCACTTAATGATCGTCCAAATTTATGTCGCTGACATCATCTTCGGCTCTACGAATCGTAACTTAACAGTTGAATTCGTAAAGTTGATGGAGACCAAATTTGAGATGAGTTCCATGGGTCCAATTAACTTTTTCCTTGGACTAAATATAAGACAGGGACCAGAAGGCATTTTCATAAATCAGGAAGCTTACACAAAGACCTTACTATCCAAGTTTGGAATGATGGGAGAATCGAGAGTGAAGGTTCCAATGACATTCACAACGAAGCTAACACCATCTATGGAAAAATCGGCTGCTGATATGACTCTCTATCGTCAAATGATAGGCTCATTGATGTATCTAACAGCTAGTAGACCAGATATTATGTTTTCCGTTTGTTACTGTGCCAGGTTTCAAGCAAATCCACACAAACCTCACATGGTGGCTGTCAAGAACATCTTTAGATACCTGAAGCGAACCTCATCTTTTGGTATATGGTATCCAACGAAATCAGGGTTCTTCATTCAAGCATTCTCAGACGCTGATCTTGGAGGATGTGGATTGGATAGAAAAAGCACTACTGGCGGATGTCAATTTCTCGATGGCAAACTCGTCAGCTGACAGTCTAAGAAACAAACATACGAATTCTAATCCACAGCCGAAGCTGAGTACATCGCTGCAGCGTCATGTGCTTCACATGTTATATAGATTCAAAGTCAGTAAGAGACTACAGCCCGAACATTAAGTGAATCCCACTTTACTGTGACTCTGAAAGCGCAATTCGTATATGTCACAACCCAGTGCAACACTCAAAAATGAAACACATCGCACTGATGTATCACTTCACCAAGGATCATGTGGAAGATGGTAATGGCGAAATTCATTTTGTTCGATCCACTGATCAATTAGCTGACATATTCACGAAATCCTTGCCTGAAGCAACCTTTAATAGAACACTCCAAGGCCTTGGAATGATGGAAGCTGAATCAGTTCCGAAACCCCCTTCGCTTCCATGAGTGTCACTTTCGCTTTCTCTCCATAAGTTTTTATCAAGAGAAATGAGGGGAACGTTCGCTCTATTTCGTTTCATATTTTTTCGGGACACGAAATGGAACGAACCCTCGCTCCTATTCGCTTCACTCATTCTTTATAAGCGAACGGTTGGTTAGTGATTTCACTTCTTACTCGTGGTTTGGAACTCCTGTATCTTTTGTATATTATGCATTCTAAAAGTTTGTTTCGCATATTTTATGTTTTTATTTATTTTCAGAATATCCAAAAAGATTTTTCTTTCTGTTTTTTAATTATTTTTCAGAAAAATAAAATACAAAAATATTTTCCTTTTGTTTTATTTCGAAAATCAAAAATACAAAAATATTTTCCTTTTGTTTTATTTAGAAACTCAAAAATACAAAAATATTTTTATTCTTTGTGTTTATCTTTACTTTTTAACTTCTTTTTACTTTTCACAAAATCTAGAAACCGAATATTACTATATGACTGAGTTGTTCACAAAGGTGCTTATTTGCTGCTGATCTCAATTCGCGTTATGAGGCAGGTATAATTTCTTCATCTTTATACTAGCTAGGTGTCCCTAGATGCATGATGCAACATGTTGTCTAAAGCCTCAACGACTCTAAAGTGAATCCTTATCGATTCGATATATACAAATCGTTTCTTCCCAATCAGGTTGCTAAATTCACTTAAGTCATGAGCTACCTTACTCTTCTCACATTGAGTTAAGAGTTATCTGCTTGGTCACTTTCGCATAGCAGAGGTACTTTCGTTTCTTATACTACCTCAACACTTTTCTCCATCAATTTCGTTTCATAAACGTGACCCTTGAGACTCTCAGCATTTACCACTGAGGTTTACGGTTACACAACATCTGTGTTGATGATCTTAGTTTCGCTTACCACGTGCTAAGTGAAACCCACAATCAACCACCTTTAATGAATTGACGATGAACAATTGAATGTTCTAGTTTTTCACCAACACACAAACGATGACCACTTTTGTTTGTTGTTTCACGGAATCTCTTTTATTTTTGCGAAATCTTTATGAAATTTTCTAAAATTAAGACATTTCTTCCCAAATCCTGTTTCGTTTTTTGTTTTTGAGATTTCTAATATTTTACCAAGTCACTGAAAAATTATCCAACCTACTTGATGTTATAGGCTACACTAGCCACACAAGTACTTCATCCAACTTTCAGTCTTATATCAAGTTCGTAGTTTGGTTGAAGCGAAAGCCACCTCACAAGCCTGAATTTAAAAAGATGCCTTTCAATGTTTCTTAACAAACATTTGATCGTACTTCAACGGGAAACCTCATAGACACTTCTCAGCCTCTCTTGACATTAAAGGAAGAGACTTGTGCCCGGGATCCTCAGTTTCGTGTCATATATGACATCACTAAATCTCACAGATATACTTTGCTTTATTTCTTTTTCTTTGGCAATGTCTTCCATGAAGATCATTATGATTTTCCAAAAATCTAGTTCGTGGTACTTATGGTGTTTTTCAGATTCACAGTTTCGCTTCTCGATGCTATGGTGGTCTTGTATTTCAAAAGGCAAAAGGTGCTCAGATTATGTAATTGGAATATGAATCGTTAGGTCAAAATATGAAGAGGTGGAGGAATGGATAATATTTCAAACCACAAGAAGCATGAATTTGAAACGGTTCCTATCATCACGCCGCCTGACACCTTTTTTGGAGTAACAGTTGTCACATCACGCTTTTCCAGGCGTCTTTCATCAGTAAATCGTATAAAGGGCTTTCACAAATCCCTTATTTCTCTTTACCACTCTCAATACTCTTAAGAAACCTAAAGGCGATTTCTCCTTCGGCTGATTCATCATCTTCTTCTTCACAAACCTGCAACAATGGCCGATTCATCATATGTTCAAGAACACACTGCTCAGTCCTCTTTCCTCACCATCAAGCCCAACCAGAACTTGATCCTCGACTTGGCTCCGTTCAAATATGACACATTCATGCTTCCCATTGTCGAGTGCTTGAAGTACTCACCTTTGGTTATTGCCTTAACCAAGGTTGAATGTGTTCCAATGTCACTATTGTCGAAGGCCTTCTCATCTGCTAAGTATGCCAAGGAGGAGGAAAAGATCATCTTTGAAGTTCTTGATAAGAAACACTCGGTCTCAAAGTCTAGGTTTTTCTCTCTTCTAGGGCTAAAGTATGTCGATTCATTGGTGAATCTGGAGTCTATTACTACTGCCCAGATCTTCGACATGTTCTACCAAATGGGGTATACTGATCTTCTCACCACTATCACCAAGTTCAAGAAGTCATGTCTTCCACCCCAATGGAATGTTCTATTTAGTCTTCTCTTCAAGGCTTTCTCTGAGAGAGTAACTGGATCCGACTGTGCTAGCAAATCTTTCATGACAATCCTCTATGGCCTCTACCATGGGATGAACCTTGATTATGGGTCCGTTCTTTGGGCTCAATTAGAGCAGAGTATGAATTCGTCGTCTCGACACAACGAGATCTCTTGCGCACGTTTCTGGACGATTGTGGTGCAGCGCGAAATGGAAAAGTTCAATGTTCCGGTGATGGCAGACTAATGAATGTCGTTGATTTCCACCTTCCACACTACGAAGATTATTATCACTGATAATTCGAAGTTTTTATCTGTGGGGTCTATTCCGGAGACTATGTATAGATGTGTTTCTGGGGCTAGAAAAATTATCATTGAGTACAAGAAGCAACCTGTTTCGGCTCCTAGGGAGCTTACTTATGAGATGCAACGCTCCTTAGATGAAGCTGATAAACCCAAAAAGGGATGCAAGAAGGGAGATAAGAAGAAAGGGGTTCAAGAAGGTCAATCTTCTCAAGCTCCAACCCCTAAGAAGCGAAAGACTCAAGGTGCAGCTCCTTCGGCTCCAAAAAGGCGAAAGCTTAGAAAGATGACACTGAAGCCCAACTCATCTTCAACAAGCGATACTGAGTACGTTCCTTCTAATCCAGCTGAAGTAGAATCAAGCAAAAGAAAAAGTTCTCAATCTGCGGGTTCGCTTCGTGGTGATTCGCCTCCATCTTCTCCACAAAAAGAGGTACCTTTAAACGATTATGTTCTAACTCGACCTCCTTCTCCTACTCACAAAAATATTCCTATTACCATCGCTCCTTGCCCACCCCCCAATTTCATCTCAACCACCACCAGTTTCTTCTCAAAAACAAACAAGCATTCCTATTTCCATCCCACCTTTCGTTTCGGTCAACGTATCTAATACGGGGGCTCAAACTTCAGGTTTCTCCACTCATGTTTCACCTCCCATTTCCCCTCTTAACCTGAATGACCCAAACATGGTCTTTTGTGATGACGAAGATGAAGATCTTGGGGGTTTTACTTACAGTCCCTTCCAAATCCGGACTGAGAATGAAGACGAGGTGCAAGTCACGAAAGGGCAACTCCGGTCCCTACATGAAAAGATTGACCAACTAATTCTCTCTAACAAAGCTTCCTCTATCAATGCATACGCCAAAGCAGCTGTTGACTCTCTCTTTGAGCGAAACATGAAGCAACACTCTGCTACTGTTGCAACATCAAATAAAGTTGTCGCTGATTCTGCTTAGGTTTGAAAGTCAACGACCGAAAAAGTCGATAAACTAATTGAAGAAACTAACTCTTTCATGGAGAACTTCCAAACCATTTTCAATTCCAACACCACATCAGCAAATGAAGCATTGAAGAGTCCGGGCTCTCTCTTCAAGGCCGAGAAGACGCAACTCCAAGAGATTCGTACTGGTCTTAAAACTGACCATGAATCATTTCAAGCCACTATCTCGTCTCAGCTTTTTCAGCTTAAAGACGAACTAGTAAAGGAGAGTATCCTCACAGACTCTCTCACTCTCAAGTCAGAAGAAGCCAAGGTGTTAAGCACCAAAATCGAAGCTTCGGAGAAGCAGGTCCATGCTCTGTTATCTGAGAAGGTAGTCATTCGAAGTTGTATAACTGATGTTACTGGCATGCTCTCAGATATCATTGAGACCAGGGACTCCATGATCACCATCACCATGCGTAAGCATCTGGCAGAAAAGTTAAGGCCAGTCTTCGCCATGCTTCACCGCCTTGAAGGTGTTTCTCATCAATCCTTTCATCCGAAACAAGGGGGAGAAAGTGTGGCTGGTGGATCAAGAAAAGAAGGACCTAAAGCTCCTATCAAGCCTATTGTCAAGAATGAACCCAAAGGCAAGGAAAAGTTGTTCCGTGACGACCCAATAATTGATAATGAAGACGAAGAAGAGCCGACTGAAGAAGAACTTAAAAAAATGAAAATTCCGTGAAGCTGAACTGGATGAGCACCAGTGAATCATCCGTGAAGCTGAAGAAAAAGAAAGGGCTAAGAAAGAAGCACCGACTACTCATCAGAGCAAAAAGCTCTTATTCCCCAAATGGACCCTGAAGCGAATCCGGCGCGATGTTGTTGATATTCCAAGCCAGTATTGGTTAGAACCAGTAGTTTCGTTTGATCTTCAAAACACACGAGACTCACTACTGGATATGCCAATTACTCCAAAAGCCTTCAGATTTCATTCTTTTGTTAAAGTGGCCAACACTCCATTCACTGACAGCGGAGTTGATCATATGTTAAAGTGGCCAACACTCCAAAAGCCTGGTCATTGAGCAAAATTACCGGTGTAAAGGTTACAGGGCCGATTGAGAATGATAGCTTTCTGAATGCAAAGTTTAAAGTGGCAAGAGGTTCAGCCAGCCAATGCTACGAGTTTACTCTCGTAGATCTTCCATGCCTTAACCCATATGACTGGTTCATTCTTTACAATATATTGCTGAAGGACAAAGAAAAATATGAACCTGTCATGTCTCATCTCAAGCACATGATAAAGTCCTATATTCAGGAGATTGGGGAGATGGATGTTGAAGTTGTTGGTATCCTGCGAAAGAAGCCTTTTGTTGTTCTTAAGGAAGCTCCTAAGGATTTTGAAAAGTTGAAGCCAGGGAAACTTTACAGTGGAGATTGGTTTGAGGTTTATTCTGCTAGGGAACGAACTGGAGTAGAATTTCGCAAAAGATGCTTCTATCTTTCTGATAAGCATCTCTACACCACAACCTTCCTTGAGTACATTTTGGAGTAGGTGAGAAAGTTCGAAGGCAACAACAAAGATGATATCAAGTGCTTCTCAGATATGGTTGTATGGTACATTAAAGTTTGCCAAGCAATTTATGCTATGATTCCGAAGGTGTATGATGTGCAGAAGCGAATCCAAGCCTGAAGGGTTTGGGCCTCAATTGACGCAAAGGAGAAATTGTTGGGTATTTTGTGTTGCGTCATTGGGCTTATTAGTTAAATATTTGTATTATCGACTTGGGCCTGTCCACTCGTTATGAATTCTAGGGTTTGAGTATTTAAGGTGCATGCATGCATCGTATTTTGGGAACTCTGATCTTTTACTTTGTAAACCCTAGCACGCCTCTACAGTTGAAATTTTTCATCGAGTTCATCTGAGGCGTGACTTTTAATCATTCGACACTTTGTTGATTCATTATGTGTTCTTACTTCACTTCGTGGTCATATTATACTTGTTCAGAATCTATTCGATCTATAAGGATTTTAGTCTTATCACCCGACATGGATTGCAAACCCGTTCAAGGTCAAGAAGCATGATGGCATGTGGATTATATGCGTCGATTATTCCAATCTAATTAAGGCCTGCCCCAAAGTCTGCTACTCCTACCAGAAATCGACCAGTAGGTGGAGTCATTACAAGGGTTCAAACTGAAATGATTTTTAAACGTATACAAGGGGTATTATCAAATCTTGATGACAAAGGGCGATGAGGACAAGACTGCCTTTTACACGGACCACGGGGCATTCCGCTACCCAGAAAATGTCGTTCGGCCTAAAGAACACAGGGGCAACATACCAGCAGCTCGTCGACTCACTTTTCACAAAGAATATTGGAAAGCATATTGAGGTGAATGTAGACGAAATTTCATAGAAATCCCAAACGAAGGAAGATTGTTGGAAGACGTGGAAGAGACACTCAGGACGCTAGAGAGGGTCAAAATGAAACTGAACCTAGAGAAGTGCACCTTTGGAGCAGAGGAATGGAAATTACTAAGGGATCCAACCGAACTCCATTAAGGTGCACAAATTGATATAGGTGTCATCTCCACAAACCTTAATGGGTGACCAAGGTTTAAATGGCAAACTGACCGCGCCAAGTCGGTTCATCTCCAAATCAGCATAAAAAAGCAATGCCACTTTTCCAAATGCTCAAAGGGTGTGCTAAATGTGACTCGAGCATTTTGGATCATATTCATGGAGAATTTGGATCATGCTCATGGAGCATTTGGAGCACTTGCAACGCAATGGAGAAGTTGGGATTCATAGAGCATGTGACAAAGGAACAAATCATCTAAGAAAGGAATGGATCGTCTGACAAAGGAATGGATCAAGTGCCAAAGGAACGGATCATACAAAAGGGGTTTTGCAGCACCTGGAATAGGTTTGGAGCACTTACGAGATTTATGGAGAAACAAACTGTTGAAGGGTTGGGCCAAGAAGGATGTTGACGTTCCATGGTTTCTCTTTCTTGCACGAAGCTACTCCCTCTTGCGCATGAGTATCCATCTTCTGCCATGGGGAATACCTCTTGCGCCATGGGGTACTCCTGTTGTGCCATGGAGTATGTTGTTGTGCCAAGCACGACCTTGTTGCACCATGCATGTTATTGTTGCACCAAGATGGTGATGTTGCTCCAACCTAGAAGTTCTTGTGCCATACTTGAAGCCACTTTCACCATCCATACACTTGTTGCGTCATCATGGTGCAAGATGGACCATCTTAGTCCTTGATGAGCCAAATATGCTATGAAGTCCTCTATGATGCTCAAGATCGTTCAAGGATGCTCAGAAGTTGGTATTAATCAAGGATCACACCATGTTGTACCACCATGAGGGATGTTGGGGGATTAGTGTTCATTATGTGCCACTTGTACATCATGACGCTCCACTATGGCACAAGGTGCTCCATCATGTGTGTTGTTGATGCTGATGGGTTGTATGACATGGAAGAATGTTCCAGAAGATACTGCATGGTGGAATATTATTGGTTGTCACTATTCATGGTCTTATGGGCCAATGGGCTTGGCCCATTAGGGTTTTAGGTCTGATCGCTCAACTATAAATACCAATGCATGCTAGGTCATTTTGTGTCTTGAATTATAGAGTGATAGGAGAATCTCTGTGTAATTGTACTTATAACCTCTGTTTGAGATCTCTAAAATAAGAATACTACCCTCCTACCCGTGGGCGTAGGTCACCTTGACCGAACCCTGTAAATACTATGATTTGTGTGCTCATAGTTTTGCTAGTTATCCGCTTTACTTCCTAGCAAGTGGTATCAGAGTTGTGGTTTGTATTCTTGTGATTGAAGATGTCTACTCACAAGTTTGATTCGTAGAAATTCAATGGTTCAAATGATTTCACATTATGGAAGGTGAAGCTGAAGGCTCTTCTGGTTCAACAAGGGTGTGCAGCGGCACTGGAAGAAGAGGAAAAACTGCCAAAGGACATGGCGGATGAGAAGAAGGCGGACATTCTAACGAAGGCACATAGTGCCACACTATTGAGCTTAACAAAAAAAGTATCGAGGGAGGTTGTGGATCAAACAACAGCTTCTGGGCTCTGGGATAAACTTTGTAACAAATACCAAAACAACTCGCTGATGAATAGCTTGTATCAGAAGCAAAGGCTGTACACATCCGATGCGACCCGTCCTTCTTTTTCACGAACAGAATCGGGGCTCCCCAGGGTGAACTGCTCGGTCTAATGAATCCCTTGTCTAACAGCTCCTGCAACTGTGTAGACAACTCCTGCATCTCAGGACGAACCAACCGATACGGTTCCTTGGCTATCAGAGCCGCACCAGGGACTAGGCCGATCCTGAACTCTACCTGCCGCTCCGGAGGTATCCTAGGCAACTCCTCGGGGAATACATCCGTGAACTCTCGCACTACTGGAACATCGCCCACTGTCGCCTTACCCGCCTCCCGGGTATCCATAACGTAGGCGACAAATCCTGCGCAACCCTGCTGAATGTAGCGCCTAGCTCTCGCTGCTGAATATAAAGCTGGTCCTCGCTGTGGCTTCTCGCCCTGAATCACCAGCTCTCCCCCACTTGGGGTTCTGATCTGCACCAACTGCTGCGCGCAGTCGATCACCGCCCCATTGGGGCTCAACCAATCCATACCAACAATAACCTTGTTCCCCCGCAAAGGTATGGGAACTAGGTCTACCTGGTAACGCTCCTTGAACAACCGCAAAACACAATCTCGGTAGACCTCTGATGCTCGCACTGACCGATCGTCCGCAATCTCGACCTCTAGAGGGCAATCCAACATGCCCGAAGACTCAGGAAACTTCTTGCCAAGCCCAAGAGAGACAAACGATCGGGTAGCACCCGAATCGAACAATACCTGAACTAGGATACCATTTACATGAAACGATCCTAAACAGAGCACATACATAACATATCAAAATCACATCATCATATCTTAAAAGCATAAGAAAGAAATTGTACCCGTCACCACATCGGGTGCAGCGCGCGCCTCCTCGGCTGTCAACTGAAATGCTCGGCTCCGCACCACCGGAGCCTCTGCCTTGGCCTTCCGGCCATCTGTAACCCGCGTTGTAACTGGAGTCGGCGCCACCGCTGGCGCTACTGCTGACGCTGCTATCAATCTAGGGCAGTTGGCCTTCTTATGGCCCCTCTGATTGCAATGGAAGCAAATCAGGTCTGACATATGCACTGTGGGGGCGGGGGCAGTACAATCTCTGACAAAGTGCCATGTCTTGCCGCACTTGTAGCAGCCGGATGATCCCGCTCTACAAGCTCCCTCATGCGGCCTGCCGCATTTCCTGCAGCGGCTCTGGCCCGGCTGGCCCTTCGACCTAACGTCGGATCCCTTGGGTTTCTTCCCCGAAACCCCTGTAACCTACTCATACTCTGCTTTTCTCTTCCTGACATGCCCCAAATCGAGCTCCCTCTCCCGCGCCCTGGAAATCATGGACTCTAGGGTCGGGCAGGCTGAATAGCTAACATGCTCCCAAATATCAGCCCTCAACATATCATAGTAGCAGGTCTTCCGCATCTCCTCATGCCCCGCATATTGGGATACCAACAGGGCCCTCTCCCTGCACTTGGCGGTGATCTCCGCCACTGTCTCAGTCGTCTGCCTCATATCCAAAAACTCCCTGGCCAGCTGCTGAAGCTCCACAGCCGGCGCAGCCTCAGTCCTGAATCTGGTCACGAAGTATGACCAAGTCATAGCCTCAACGGCTGGGGCTTCGAACGAGTCACTAACCATATCCCACCAATCTCTAGCTCTGTCTCTAAAACATCCCACCGCAAAGCGGACCTTCGACCCTTCCGGGCAGAAGCTCGTCAACTGCGCAGACTCAATGTCTGCGATCCATCTCCTGGCAGCAATGGGGTCCTTCACCTCATGAAAATCCGGCGCACCACTCCCTCTAAAGTCCTTGAAGGACAGTGTGCGCGTACCCGCCTGGCTAGAAGCCAGATCACTCCTAAATGCTCGGAGGCGATCCTCCATCAGCTCAACAATCCCCTCCTTGATCGACCCGATAATAACTGGGGTCGACTCAAGGATGCCTCTCGTGATCTCAGACGCGATGAACTCGTGTAGCCCGTCATCAACCTGCTCGGATCCTGCACTCGAGCCTGATCCTGATCCTGATCCTGAACCTCCCGTTCCATGTCGTGTGATTGCCATACTGCAAATAAACACATAAACATCAGGATCATACATGCTCTCGAGAGGTCTCGCACACTCTCCAAGTTTCTTGGTTCCATCTAGGCCCTCCCTGACTCGAGTACGGATCCTCTGCTTCCAGTAGTACGGGCCCATACTACCTTCCACATCTATCCGTACTTTCCTCAAGGATTGTTTCAACTTCACCAAGTCCTTTTACCGATACCTTTTTCCACTAATCTCGTCCTAGGCTCTCCTAGGGCACCCTCCGACCTACTCTCCGCCATCAGCTGCACTAGGAGTTCCTACTTCCTTCCCTAACTAGCTTGTGAATACTGTTACATATCTGTTTACTAGTTAGTTAAAGTTAGCCAGAACCCTTATAGCACAAAGAAAGCAGCATTTGTCCATTGAGTAACCAATTTAGGCATAACCTATACAGGCCATCCTACTGCTGACTAAACAGTCCTAGCATACAGCTAATACAACTGGCATATAAGGCATCCTTCCTAGATCCTTAGCCCTAATCTAGCATGCAGTTCTCAAAATCATATATATCAGGCATACAAGGCATCCTCCTAGATCCTTAGCCCTAATCTAGCATGTAGTTTCTTAGATTCATATATCATATAACTTATCATAACAAGTATGGGTATCTTGGGGAAAACTTACTTGAGCTCGGCCGGTTGCATGCATCACACACCTTGTTCTTTCTCCAAAACCCTTTGACTCAGATTTTGAAAATCATTTTCTAAAAAAAATCTTTTAATCCCTCGGTTTGAGTCCAGACACACCCGAGGGTGTGTCCGAATCCCTCAAACCAGGGCTCTGATACCAACTTGTAACATCCCAAATTTCAAATCCAAAAATTTCATTTTAAATTAAGTAATTCACAACATAGTTTACCAAAACATTTCCCATGCCATGTCATTTGTAAAAAGAAACTTAACAATGTGTCTGGAAGTCATATCGTCATAAGTAAAATAAATCATAGTACATTCGCAGAAAAGTCCCTACGGAAACCATGTGTGTGTGTGATGCGCTGCTACACCGCCGACTCCTTCCCCTTAGACGAAGAGGTACCTGAAACCAAAACTAAAACTGTAAGCACAAAGCTTAGTGAGTTCCCCCATCATACCACATCCCATATAATCACATAACATACATACTTCCACGCAATTCTGGGGCGCCCGTCCTA